GCGTCCAGAGTGTGATGGTGACCCTCTTGTTGACCGGGATGGTGGGCCGCAGCCGGGTGGTATGTCTCCAGAGCGCTGGGGCGAGCCGGGCACACAGCTCCAGGAACGTCTGCTTTCGCATTGTGAAGTTCCGGAGCCACTGCTGGTCATCCCATTGCTCCAGGACCAGCCGATCCCACCAGTCAGTACTGGTGTCCAGTGTCCAATAACACATCTCCACGGTTGGGGGCGGATGCCACAGGGACGCCACCACATCCATGGAGAGGGAGTCCAGATCGAGCTTGGTCTCAAGCTCCTGCAGGAGTAGTGCAGCAGCATGGAGCAGCAGCTGCAGGCACTCCAAAATGGCCGTGTGGGGCCAGAGCAGGCACAGGGCTACACCTGGCTGCATGGCACAGCAGTGAGGATGCCAAAGTCACAAAAGGCACTAGGGCAGAAGTTGTGGTGTCCAAAGAGGCTGAGGGCAACCACAACTAGAACTGCTACGGCTGTCAGTCCCTACAGGAGGTCCCAAAGCACTCAGCAGAAGAGAAACGGCTGTCCAGAGAGATCCCTTTAAGCACGTCTCAAAGGAGCTTCAGCCCCCACCCCTGGAAACTCCTGGCGCCCTTTTGCCCTCTGCAAAGTAGTTCCGGGCTGCTGTTTTTGCGCAAGAGCGTCCCGCCAGTGTGGATACTCTCTTGCGCAAAAGCACATGGCTTTTACGATGCACTGTGACCAGTGTGGACGTTCTCTTGTGCAAGATTTCTTGCGCAAAACAGTTCTTGCGCAGGAAGTGTGCAGTGTAGACTTAGCCCTAGAGTATATCTCCAATCTACATGGTCTTCTCTTTTCTGGAGCTCGATCCAACTAGTCTTTGATCTGTATACAGATGATTTATAATAGTATTCATTGGGGATGTTAAAATGTGTTTACTTTGGTAAATGTGTAACCACAGAAATTTTCAGCTATTGCACATTTACATGCCAGGGAGAGGGGGAAAGGGAGGTGAGGCAGCTCCACAGGGCCCAGTGAATGTGGCAAGCCAGCTATCAGAGGCAGCACTGGGGGGCGGGGAAGGGGGGGGGGAGCCTGCGTATAACAGTGAAGGTTAACCAATGAACCCAAGCTTTACACGTTTACACTATCATATCCCTAGTATTCACTGAGCTGTCATGAACAGAATGGGCCTAATTTTCATTTGCAATAAGAGCCCTTTACACCACTCTGGTCTAAAGCTTACAGGAGCCTTACGGTAAGTATAAAAGCTTATATCCACCCATTTTAAGGACTTTTTGCTCTGCCATGGTGGTATAAACAGGCCAGAGTATAAGTGAGAATAAGATCCAGTAATTTTATAAACTATATTTGGTTGCTTTGTTTTGTTTTGTAGCTCAAAGAGGTTCATCAGTTGGAAAAAAATCTCTGATTTTATTTATCATCCCAACGTGTATAATAGCAGTTATTCTCATATCTGCATTAATTATCTTTCTAAAGAGAAAATCACTCACAAAGCTCCATGTCAAAAAAGGTACATTTTGACTTTATTTATGTGTCTCCTAATTTGCTCTTCAGGCCTTTCAGAACCACTGGATTAATTTGTACACTCCCTCCTCCCCCACCACTCACTTGTCATTTGATTCTATTGTTTTTCAGAGGAACTCTTATCTAACCATGACTGATTTTTCTAGCTGGTCTACACCAATGTTCCCTCTAATTTTTTCCATCTATGTATGGAACACATTTTGTTATGTTATGTGTACTGAAGCATGCATGGATGTACACCACCAGTAGAAACGTGATGGAGGCAGTGGGCACTCTGCTAATTAGCTAGGCAGCACCTGAATTTCTCCTGGATGGCCACCCAAGCACTCCGCTTATAAGGAACACTACACTACTATGGTAAATTGATCTAACTTATGCAACTTCAGTTACATGAATAACGTAACTGAAGTCAGCGTTGTTAGATCCTCTTACCAAGTGGCTACATACACTGTGCTGTGTCAATGAGAGACCATTTTCCATCAATTTCCATTATGTTTCTCAGGGAGATGGAGTCCACAAATCAGTGGGAGACTGCTCGTCCTCCAATTTAGTGTATCTTCACCAGATCTGCTCAATTGACATTTGCAGCATTGACTGCAGCAGTACAAGTCTGCCAGCAAGTAAAGACATATGCAGAGTAGACTTGAATTAGGTTTTAATTCCCTCACCATGTGACACAGGAATATTATGTACGATTTTTGTGCAGAGTAAATAGCTAACTTGATGGTGTCTGTGCCACACTCTACTGAATTATTATTAGCTGGGTTTACTTACTTTATTTATTTTGCTTTTTTCTTAATGTTTTACTACTTGAAGGAAAACAATAGTGGGAAAATAATAATGGATAGCAGGCCTGTTATTCAACTCTGTTCTTGCTAATAAATCACTCCTCCAGTAAACTATACATTACCTTAATACAAAACTTGAATGAACAGAAGATTATGGGCTTAATCCTGCAGTGAAAGGCTCTAGGATTTGGTTGTGTAATTGTCAGACAGAAGAGCCTCAGAGAAATTTGTTACAGTCTCATGCCAAATGTAAGAACCCAAATCTGTTGGATACCTACCTAAACATTGGTTGAATTATATTACATTATTTTTTAAAGTAGAAACTTTTAAAATAAAATTCTCTAAGTCAAATGTGTTCACACTTGCTTTAGGAGGAAAAAAAAGAAAAAGCCCCCAGTTACACAAAGAAGACAACAGTAAGTCATAGTATTTTATACTTCCTGCTTCTGACTTTTTCTTTATAATAAAGGCATTATTAATATGTAAAGAATCAGTCAAATGATAAAACTAAAGAACCACTATGTACTTTGGAGTCTAACTTTGACTTTCATTAACAGTGCTATTAAGTCTAGTCATAATGTTCTCCAGATTCTAAGTGTAATCCTATGACTTTTCAGATCATAAAGAACAGGTCACCTCCTCTCTCCAAGGTATTGTCTGAGCGGCTGGTCTGATTATAGGGCCACATCAGGTCATTGTGTTTCTCCTAGCTATAATCTGGTACAGTAGCAGATGATAATTTTGGTGAATGTAGATTTTTCTGTCGTAGATTTGCTTCTCTTTGGCTCAAATCTAGTGTAGTGTTTGTTTTTAAAGGGCTTAGGGCTCTAGCCACTGCTGCTGCTGGCACTTTTATATTGGTGGGAGCTGGGGCAACTGCCCTTCCCCCGCTGTTGGTAGCCTGAGTGGGAGAGATAAGAAAATGAGAAAGGGACTCAGAGATATCAAGAAAGCCAGCCAGGAATCTGTAAGCATGGCATGCGACCCTAGGAAAAGCTAGAGAGAGAAGTTTTGGGTCTGGTGCTTGCTAAAGCAGCTTGAGACTGTAAACAAAGGAGCTATCCTTTTTGTTTTGGTCCTTCCCGAATTCAGAGAAGCAGGACTTTGTGTGTTCCTTGTAAATACACAAGACTGCGTAAAAGAAAATAATATACTACAACATAAATTTCTGGTTCCAGCTGGAGATCCCTAGAGTCCAGAATTTTGACTAGCCATTTGATCAAAAAGGGATAACAATATTTCTATATTTCATTGTGAGATACTGTAGATAAAAATCTATACCCTTCAGCCTCTTTAATCTGGCCACCCTGGGAATCAGGATTTGTCAGATCAGAGATTTTGCCAGCCTGGAGAGAAAGTGAAGGGGATGTGGACAGAGTGCTTACCTGGCGCTCCGTGTCCCCCACCGCGATGGGAGTGATGGGGAAAAGCTTCCAGCAGAGTGCGTTGATGCACTGCCATTCTGGCAGAGTCCATAGTATGGGTATTCCCAAATTAGGAATAACGAGGTTGTAGAGTATAAAGCTGTTTGTTAATAATATGCTGAAGACAGACCCAGGATGAAAGCAGTATGGAGAACTGCCAGATACTATACTCTGTAGCACACAGTTGAAATAATGGGCCAGATTCTGGCCTCTGATACATTTGCTTTGCACCGCATAATGCCCTTGAAGTCCGTCCCATTGGCCAATGGGAGCTTCTCCTGGCACAGGGATCTGAGTCTATTCCACCAGCTTTTTCCTAAACCCAGAACAAGATATATGTCAAGGTTTTTGGCTATTAGAGCGATTGTGGCCACAGTGTTGTGGTGTCCCAGCAATCCTTCATTATCAGAATGGCTCCTTGGGAGTCACTGAAACAAGACATAATTTAGAGCAGTCCCAAAACTGTTTCAAATTAGTCCACAGGCCAAAGAGACCACCAAATCCCTAAGAAGCAGTGAAATCTTGTGAAGCAAAGTTCTGGCACAGGTGAGGTTTTGTTTCTGTATTGGGAATGGTCTCTGTAGAAGCAACAAATTGTAGTTTACAAGCCAGGTAGTTTACATCTTTTTCAAAAGATGGGGTTAAATTGAAAATAAATTCCCTTTTCTAACTTTCAAGACAAGTTAGAAGGTGGCCTGGTGACAAGATGACTTTGAGCTTCCAAGGGAGAAATGTAGATTGGAACTGGATTGCTGGAGATTGGGTTTTTCATAGAAATGACTCACTACATTTTGAATGATATACACAAGTAGAACCTCTCTAGTCTGGCATTCTTTGATCTGGCAACATCTGTGGTTCAGCATGATTTTAGTTAGCTGGATGTCCACGTATCATGGATGTGGCCATATTTCCCACAGTCCCATAAAGTTTGTTTTCAGCCACCAGACTTGGCTCTCAGTATTCTGTGCTGGTTTTTAGCTGTAATTTACCCCAAATGTCCTCTAAGGGCCCAGCAAGCAGTGGAAGTGTTGGTAATGCAGCTAGACAATAAAGACCTCCTGTGGTTCAGCAAATTATCTGGTTCAGCACCAGTCAGGTCCCAAAGGTGCCAGACTACAGAGGTTCAATCTGTACTGCAGGATACCTCTGGCTTTTCAATCCACTAATGTTAATGGGTACTGTGTCCAAAAAAAGACACTTTCATGCCATTCCAATTAATCATTTAAAAATAAATCTTAATAATTACAAGCCAAATTCTTCATTCTCACAAATGGATGTAAAACTTCAGTGAAGGTGCTGCAGGCAGACATGACAGCAAAATTTGATCTTAGCTAAAGCCATCAAGCAAAATAAGCACTGGAGCAGAGAGAACTCCAGTGCAGGTCCAAACCTAACCCTAATGCATATTGTTTGAGCGCATAGCGTGGCTTCCCATGGATTTGATTTCTTACAGCTGTAGAATTCTTTTCACCTCTGCTTACATATCAAGTCGTATGGTAGAGGTTATAATGAAACACATTAAAAGAAGAATCTGTAAGGGAGCAAAGATAACACTTGTTTTACTTCCTCATTCTAATAACTGAAAATGTCTGTGCAGTATGCAGTAAATCATATGACAGCCAATTATATTTTTTAGCATCATGCACTTTTAAGAAACATTGGAAAGAACCTTTATTCTCTGCTGAGTGTGTATGTGAAGTTTGAAAGCCACAGACGTTTACTGTAATGCACTGGAAAATGTCCTATCATCCCTCAGTTTGAGGAACAATAACTTTTTATGTAAGAAATTCTGAACTGTCCAGCTTAAGCTATGTTAGCAATGAAGATTTAGAACATTTACACAATTATTTAGGCTCCATAAGTGTGTACACTTTTACACATGATATAATCCTGTTGGACTTCATTTTAGCAAGTTTTAGAATACGTGTTACTCGCTCATAAATATCATAGTTACTGTGGGAATTTTGTCTGAAAATAAGAAATTCAGGATGCAAATCATAGTTATTAGAGTTGTAAACAGGGCTCAGTGAATATTTGATTATTTTTCTGTCACAAATGACTGTATTCATTATTCAAAAATATTTGCCAAATAATTTTTTAAAATCTTGGTTCATAGCTTGTTCATGAGCTACTTTTTTGCCAGTGATCTAGATCAGGGTGGGCAATCATTTTTGATGGGGGAGGGTAACTCCAAAATTTTGGTCAAGGGCCACACTTTTCTATGGAGAAGGGTGCAAGGTCTGGGATGGAGGTTCGGTGAAGAAGGGAGCTCAAGGTAGGGGATAGGAGTACAGGAAAGGGTGGGAGGTCTGAGAGAGTTTGGGTGAAGGAGGGGGTTTGCAGCCAGTGCAACATCCCCCTACCCTCAGTGCAGGGAGGCAGATGGAGCAGCCAGCTACTCTGAGCCTCAGGGCTGCTCTCTGCTTGTGGGTCCAGTGGGGTGGACCGCAGGCTGCACTGAAAGGCTTGGTGGGCCAGATCTGTCCCCCAGGCCGTATCTTGCCCAATCTCATTCTAGATTCAGATTTTGAACTGTTTTGATTGGTCACTACAAGGTGGTGCTTCTGTTCCTTGATTGGATGAGCATTTAAAATCTATATTTTGCTAATATTCTGGAAAATTATTGACTAAAATTTGCTGCTTTGGGCAGCAGTTCAGCAAAAGCACTTAATCATGTGCTTAACTTTAAGCCTAAGAGTAGATACTTTGATGTCAATGGGACTATTGAAGTTAGGCATTTTTTGTTGAATTGAG